GAAAAAATTCAAATGCAAAAAAGTACTTTCGTTTATTTATAATATATATTATATATTTTTATTTCATAATAGAGTGACGTATAATTATTTCTAGTAGAAATGTTTAAATTTTGCCGAAATTATTGGTATATATATACATACCTATATGATTGTATATGTATATATTTACAATTTTAAGGTCATTGACATTAAATATTGATGTCTCTTTTATATTAAGAAAAATTTATTTATTTAATTTAAAATATTATTTTTAAATTTTGGTTGGTTCTCTGCCTAATATCAGATCATTAAAAAAAAAACAAAAGATAATGTATATAAATAAATGAATATACTTTAAAATTTAATTTTAAATTTAAAAACATTTTATCATATGAGCACTTGACTTAAAGAGTGAACTACGTGTGAATCTGAAGATAATTAGGTTTTAAACTACTAATTAAGCAATTATATTCGAATATTTATTATTATTCTTATAATGATTCTAATATAGGCACAAAATTTATAATGAAATTTTTAATTAACTTTTATAAATAAATAACACAATCTACTTTATGAACTTCGTTTGCAAAATTGACAATGCCAATTAACTTATATACAGATCTATTGTTCCCTTATGGGAGAGGATATTCAATTTTTCCACTGATTCTTTTTCTTACTTTGGGATACGTTAAAGTACAACAAAACAAAAGATGAAGTATTTTCATCTACATATGCAAGATATATTTAAACTTCTTTTTGAGTAATTATTCAATCCAAAAAAGAATTTATTAGACAACAAACGAGTAGGTTCCTATCAAATTGTATTTCAGTAAATATATCTAGTACGATTTGTTCAGGATTTTAAAATAAGCGACTGTGTTGTTGATTTGCTACTTTTTGGTAATAAATCTCTTCCAATCATAGGTTCAGATTGTAGAATAGAGCATGGAAGCAGAGTGATATATCTGCAGAATATGCAAGATAGATACACTGACTACATGTCTTTCATCAAGATGTATGATAAAACTAGTTTTGTTTGGTACATTTTTGTTTTAAAATGTGTTGATCCAATGAGCCAAAAACGAAAATGAGCTATTCTTAGTTTTGATTGAAGGAAATTGGTATGAAGTAAATGATATGCATCCTGAAATACTATGAAACTCATTTTATCGGTTGACTTCATGATCAATTCTTTTTCACAGCTAGTTCATCCAAATCTATACTCTTGAATGTAAGTATTTAAGTAATAATACGTCTACTGTAATGAATCGATACAGAAATACTGCCTGATTTTGTTAGAAAACCGCTACGTGCTGGAGCTCATGGTACACACTAAATATCTATGCTCCAGATAATTTATTCATATTCAGTGGGATGTAATCAGTATACTGTGTCAGAAACTTATCGCTCTAATAAAATCACACAATGCTTGTCATCGAATAGCCTGATGATTTCTGATATCTCCATCAATTTTAACTGGACGTCTGGAATATGACGCAACACACATGATTACAATATCATATTACAAAACATACTTCTTCGCATTTATAAATACATATGGATATTGAGATATATTATTTACATATAATGTAGGAATACACCTAATTGAATTAATCGGTCGGAAAATTTGTTGGAAATTTACTTCAAACATTCTTTAATATGTGTATTTTTGTTTTTGTGTCAAAATAAGTTTTCGATCAATTGTCTAGAGAGAAGAAATACCTACGCCTTATAAACTTACTTATTTCCATGTATTGTTCAATTTTATTCTTTAATTTTTACCATTTTAATCGCAGTTTTTACCAATAAGGTACTTTAACGCACATACCCCCAAGGCCCGCTGTTATATTATTAGGGGACTCATTTCACGTTTTTTTTAATTTAATATTTTAGGTATTAGGTGTCTTAGGTATTAATTTTAATATATTATAATTATTATTTTTTTAATAAATTTAGTTAATAATTTTGAATATTTTATTTGGACTTGAAGTTATTGGTTTTTAGCAATATGTTAGCTATGACAACATTTATTTTGAAGCCTATTTTCAACTTTTCCTTGATATCTAATATATACATATATTCAAGAATTTCGGTTCAAAATAAAGTTATGTATACAAAAAAACTGCATATACCTTTATAGTACTGTGACCCACATAGGTTCAAAAATCCGTTGTGATACTAAAAATCGATATTAATTTACTTAACCTTAA